TTCCACGAGTTCGACGTATCTCGGCCAGTAACACACACGGCCCGGCCGGGCAGGGCAGAGCAGGGCGCCCTCTGCCCTCGAAAACTTTCACGCAGCCTCGGTAAAAAAAAATAACAACACTCAAAATAAATCCGACGGGCGCTTTGATTTCGAGTAAAGTGAACCTACCTACACCCCCTATATACCCGCAAATGGTTTGATCTAGAACACCGCCAAAACTTTAAAAGAATAAAAATTTTAGTCAAGTTTTCTTAGTTTTGCGAGTTGTTTGTTATGTCATGGAGAAAATATGGCTTTTGGGCAAAACAAAACTTTCTTTGTTTCTAGATTTGAGGGAACCGTTGTCTGGGTTTTTGGTTTACGTCGAAGCTCATCAAGAAGAAGAAACTTAACGTCAGGGTGCAATTTTCTGTGTGCGCGTTTGGATTTTCTGGCCGTGCTTGTGAAGTAAGGAGAAGTATGGGTTGCAACCAAGCACGCGCTGACACAACACGGCGGGGGGCATCGCACCTATGACCACGCCCCGGGAGGCGCGCCCCGGCCGGGCCCGGCCTCGTGTCACGGCACATGAGCATGTAGCAGTGACCGTCGAGCAAAGGGGTTGGGCCGCCTCCGCGGGGTGTGGCCCCCTACGCCGTCGCTCTCGCTCGTGCTCATTACGAGCACGGCGTATCTCGGACGCGTCCCCGCGTCCCGTCCGGCCGGACAACAACCAGGCCCGCGCTAACGCCATCCTCCTCGCACGCACGCGCGGCCAGCATAGCAGGGTGGCGCGACGAGGCGGAGGGGTTGGTTGCGCCGGGCCTTGGCCGTGCCCATACAGTGACGGAACGCGGAGTGGCGTGAAGCCGTGACGTTGGCGTGTCGCACGCAGAGGACACGCGCGCCGCCCTCCCCGTCCTCCACAAGGGCCCCGGGGGACACATCGTCCACGTCCGGCCCGGGGGCCCAGCCCAGCCCGGGGACACGCCGTACACCGCACGGCATGCCGGCACAGGAGGTCGCGGCGCACACAGAACTAGGCCAGCTGCCGCCCCGCCCCGCCACCCCTCGAGAGGGCAAGATGTCGCGATGAGAGAGCCGCGGGCGCCGTGGCCTCGCCTTTGGGCCTCAGCTCGGGACTCGGCTCGGGCCACGCGGCTTTGGGCCCAACCACCAGCCTTTAATTATGCCCGAAGGCATAATCAAACGAACGTGCTGGATTTATTCACAAGGGAGGAAAAGGAAAGGGCGAAAGGGTGAGAGGGAGGAGGAGGGGGTGGGGGGTACATCCTCTGGCTCTATCGCTGCGCGCGCGCCCCCACTTCGATTTCTTGCCCCTGACATGCATTGTTCCAGAAGAAGCAAGCAGCAGCCTTTTTGTTCATCCCCGTTGTATCGTTGTACATGCGGAAGGCCTGATTCCTTCTGTCTCGCTCGTGGCTTTTGGGGGACTCCCTCTCCTCCGCCACAAGCGACGCGCGACGATACGATACCACACCAGTGTGCGAATGTAGCACACTTGTAGGTGTGTGAATTTCCAGTTGCACACTTGTGGGTAAAAGCGAAAGAAGTGATATCATAGAGAGAATGGAATGTCAAGGCACACATTTTTACATTTGCACGAATGGAGATTCACACACCTGCAATAAAGTGTGCGACATTCATACACTTGGGTCTCCTTTGCAAGCAGCGTTGCCTCTACTCTACCCCCGCCGCACCCGGGCGACACGGGCTCAGCCGGCTCCAGTGGGGACCGCAGCCGCCATCAAGCAAAATATTTATGAACGTTCGTCTTGGTGGACGGGGTGGGGCCTGGAGCCTTTGTGAGCTGCCGGAGAATAAAGGGGGTGGGTGGAGG